TGTTGGCGAGGCTGTGGAGAAAGGGGAACCCTCCTACACTGCTGGTGGGAATGTAAATTAGTTCAACCATTGTGGAAAGCAGTATGGAGGTGCATCAAAATGCTCAAAACAGACCTACCATTTGACCCAGGAATTCCACTCCTAGGAATTTACCCTAAGAACGCAGCAATCAAGTTTGAGAAAGACAGATGCACTCCTATGTTTATCGCAGCACTATTTACAATAGCCAAGAATTGGAAGCAACCTAAATGTCCATCTGTAGATGAATGGATAAAGAAGATGTGGTACATATACACAATGGAATACTACTCAGCCATAAGAAGTGGAAAAATCCAACCATTTGCAGCAACATGGATGGAGCTGGAGAGTATTATGCTCAGTGAAATAAGCCAAGCGGAGAAAGAGAAATACCAAATGATTTCACTCATCTGAGGAGTATAGGAACAAAGGAAAAACTGAAGGAACAAAACAGCAGCAGAATTACAGAACCCAAAAATGGACTAACAGGTACCAAAGGGAAAGGAACTGGGGAGGATGGGTGGGCAGGGAGGGATAAGGGGGGGGAAGAAGAAGGGGGGTATTAAGATTAGCATGCATGGGGGGGAGGGAGAAAGGGGAGGGTGGGCTGCACAACACAGAGAGGACAAGTAGTGACTCTACCACATTTTGCTAAGCTGATGGACAGTAACCGTAATGTGGTTGTTAGGGGGGACCTGATATAGGGGAGAGCATAGTAAACATAGTATTCTTCAGGTAAGTGTAGATTAAAAATTTAAAAAAAAAAAAGAAAGAAAGAAAGAAAAGGGGGATTACTCCTTAACAGGATAAAACTATTGGTAAATCAAAGATCAACGCATGCTTTAAATATCCTTAATGTTGATCACTTAAAGGGTGTCAGATGATCAGCTATGGAGGTACTCTTTTCTGATAATATTCCTTTCTCTTAATTAAAAAAAAAAAAAAAAAGCAGTTACTGTGTGCTGACCTCCAATGAGTTCTGCACAGTGGTATAGAGGGCATGTCAAAGTGTGGGCAAAGGGTCTGTTTGTTTCTACGCAGAAGATCAAGGCCTAGCTTGGATACCCAGAAAATGAACTAAGATACGATATGAGGAGGAGCTTCCGGCATCAGCACTCTCTGGAGGACTCGTGCCGGGGGATGATCATCAAAAAGCCTCCACAGGGATCCGGACGATGCTGCGGTTGTGGCTGCATCCAGCCCACCGTCTCCTGGACTTGCCATAAGAAGGAGGAGGGAGATGTCTAGGCTGGCATGTGCATACAGTGAGACAACGAATTTGACTGGATCTGTACTGTTGGAACTCAACCAGGAGTTGGGAGGGGTGCAAGTTGTAGCACCCCAAAATCTCATGACTATAGACTATCTATGGTTAAAAGAACATATGGGATGTGAACAGATCCCAGAAATGGGCTGCTTTAATTTGTCTGATGGTTCAAGTACAGTTGGAAAATATCCATCATATCATAGATAAATTTTCACAAATGCCTAGGGTGCCTAAATGGTTTTCTTGGCTTCACTGGAGATGGCTGGTAATTATAGATTTGCTTTGTTTATGTCACCGTATTCCTATTATGTTAATATGTGTGTGCAAATTAGTTAGTAGTTTAAAACCTATACATACTTAAGGTACTATACAAGAAGATATGTCAAAGAAATAATCAATCCTCCCAAGTTTCCTTCATATGCTACATCTATAGCTTTTCTTCTTCCTTCCTAATTACAACCCTTAAATAGAATTCGTGCCTCATATCGAATTTACCGAGTATCATAATTCCTCCAGGTGGTAAAGATACCTCGAGACAAGTGCTGGGCATAGAAGCCACAGGGCATAAATCTGCAAAGAAGTAAAAAGCTAACCTTTGCAAACAATATGGCTTCTCTCTCACTTACCAACTTTACATTTCCCTGTATGGCCCCGGAAGATGACTGGTTAGCCAGAGACGGGTAAGATTCCTCAAGGGAGGAACAACCTAAGACAGGCACAGTCGCAGGGGGGCCATCAGGTGAGAATTTGGGGATCAACAGAGGTGAGGCTCAGAACCTCACCCCCCCTGCTTTGAGAGAAATCTTCTGCATCCGTGGATGTCTTGCTGCCCTTGTCTAGCCTGGATTAATACTTAGTCCATAGGCACACACCTGATCATCTGATCATCTACATTTGCCTTCTTACAGCACTAAACTATGTTTTCTACCTTTATCTTGCATCTACCTACCACTTCAGCATTTTATTAAAAATAAAAATAATAATAATAATAGGAGAAATGTGGGATCAACATATAAATCAAGTACAAAAATCAAATGAATATTCATATTTGACCTGATGGTTTATAGGTCATATTGCATGATCAAAACCGAAAGTTTCTGTGCTGAATGCCCTTGTACTGTTCACCATGTAAGAATTTATTCACTATGTAAGAATTCGTTCACCATGTAAGAACTTGTTCGTTATGCTTCAGAAGATTGGAGAGTGACGAGAATTAGACTTGAGATGGATTAATGATTGTACATTGAGCATTGACCCCCCTATACTAAATTTTATTGTTGTTAACAACCATTTGATCAATAAATATGAGAGATGCCCTCTCAAAAAAAAATAATAATAATAATTAGCCACTATGTCACTTTCAAATTAAAATATCATTACGCCTCTCCCTTTTTGTTTCTTTTTTGCCTCTCTGTCTCTCCTTACTTTGGATAAAAATATCTGTATTCTAGTGGAAAGAAAATGGAGGCCGCCACAAAGGGAATCAGTCCTGGACATTTTCTTCCACTTGGAAGAATAACTAGGGATAATTTGCTAGACCTCTTTGCCTCAATTTTCTCATCAACATTACGGAAATAGTAATCCCTGAGCCAACCAACATAAGTTTATGTGATAGATTTAGAAACCTTTAATTTGTATGATTATCTTAAATAATTGGATGAGACTCCCAAGGTACTCGGTAGGCCAGCAATTTTTTAGTAAAAAATAATCTCAGAAAAATCATCTAACAGCTATTGTAGTGGGGTGTGTGGAGGACTTGATAATATGGGTGAACGTTGAAACCACGATGTTGCTCATGTGAAACCTTAAGAAGATTGTTTATCTATGCTACCTTAATTTTAAAAAAATGAAAAGAAAAGAAAAATACTCTAAGACATAGAAGTGAGGATTATCTGATTCCACAGAATATGCACCTTTGATTGACTTTCTATTGACAAAGGTATTTTACAACTCTGTAGAGGTGGAGGTTAACTTGCAGAAAACTGAGTTTTCTTGTGATTCTTCTCCATAACAATACAAATGAATTTTGCCTGACACAGAATTAATGTCCACCATGTAGAAATGATGATGCCCAAAGATTACATTTTATTCCCTGTAGGATATTAACTATATTGGCATCTATTAACAATTTTTTCAACATTCCTAAATTATCTATATACCTTTTCTTCAAAGACTGAACTGGTTTTAGCATCTTACGGGCTTGCTTCATTAATTAATCACATAAAATCCTTGACACAAATAAATTATATATTTGTATGAAAGTCACAACTTTCTGAAAATTATACATTAGCACTAGCCGTTTTCTCAAGGTTTCTTGAAGGAAAATGCTAATAAGGGGATAATGATAGTAGTAACAACAATATTGTTCACAAAAATAATACAAACAGAAACACTATCATGAACTGAATTCTACTGAGTACTTTATGGGTGCCAGGAAATGTACTAAGTACAGTAACATTGATTATCTTGTACCCTAACATTGATTATCTTGTTCCCAAGGAGGTTGATACTACAATTATTCCCATTTTTCACATTGAAGAAACTGATGTTTAGAGATATAAAGTAACAGGATCAAGTTCACATAACTTGTAAATAGAAGTCCTAGGATTGGAACTTAGACTTCCCTTGATTGGTGCAATTCATTATTTGAAAATAATAATCTCTTAGTGTTCTTAAGAACTGGCTTTTCTCCAGGCTCTATCAGTTGGTTTTCTTCATACTGCACCAACCCTTTCTTCAAAGTCACAAATTGTTTTTCTCATGCTGTTTTCAAGGCTGTGTCTTTGTTTTTGATGTTCAACAGTTTGTTTACACTGTCTCTGTGTGTGTCTCTCTAGGTTTGTCCTACTTGAAGTTCCAAACGACATTTCAACCTAAAATCTCTGATCTTATCTACAAAGCTTTCCCCTTTATTTCCACAGTTTTGATTGTGCTTTTTCCTCTCCCTGAAATTCCCTCCGTTTGTTTGCATACATACAAATTACAAATTTTACCTCTTGCATGAATTTCCCTTGAGGACACCATCCCTCAGTGATCTCTGTCTTCTGAGTTTGACAACCTTAGTGACTGTAAATTTCTCATTTGGTCTTAGTTAATATTAATTAACTATTATATTTGCATTATTTTTTCTATCTTGAAACGGAGTATGAATGGTATAACTGCAAAATCATAGAATTGACTTACTTTAAACATGTCACACAAATATGTGTTTCCCATTCAAAAAAGTTACCCTTGGAAAATGAAATACTTAACACAATAGAGTCATAGTTCAAAACATAATACCTCTCTTTGGGAATACTTTCTGTATATTTTGTGGTGGTAAGTTTTTATCTTTTGAAGATTGATTTGATTTTTGAAACAATAAAGTTATTTTTAATTGAGCTGGTGAATGATTTGAGTGATACAGCTGGGTGTAAAATTTCTTTATTACTACATCCCTTCTGTCTTATTATTTTGAAAGTTGACTGTCAAACAAAACAGTATATTCTTTTAATATATTTCTTAATGATGGATCTGAAAGGCTTAAGGAGGATTTCTTCAAAATATTTTGAGTCTAAGAGTAAGTGTGCAATTTTATAAAGGTTTAGTCCCCTGAGAGGATTATCACTTATTTGGAAGCCTAAAAATCTTTCTGGTAGCCTGAAAATCTTTATCATTTCTGAAAAAAAGAAAAACAACAAATAAATACGTGCAGAAGTAAATAAAAAGATTTTACAGTTCCACACGGTTAGAAAAGCTGGTGCATTGGCTAGAAGCAGAAGAATCATGACCCCCAACAACATATAAGAATCCATTATATGTTGCAGCTCCCACATGTCAATGCCTTTTAGACATTGAAGCACACAGACTCCATTTGTTGTGTGTGGGTCAAAGTATTTCATTGATTTAAGGCAGAAACGTCCATCACGTCCACCAATAGCGTATATCCTAGAAAAAAGACACAAGTGTCTGTATGTGTATACACATACAGAGAGGGAGAGAGATTGTATTTCCAATTTGTGCATAGAATGAAAGTGAAAGAACCTTGCACAAAGCATTTAAACTTTCTGAATATATATTCTTCTCTGATAGTATTTTGTAGCAGATGGACTGACTCTGTGAATGGATACTTATTTGAAGGCACATGCTAAGGTTGACCTTAATCCAAGCCTCTCTCCTTTAAAGTTTTTGTGAAATTTACTTTGACTTGGTAGATTAAAGGATTCCATGGGAAATGAAATACAGAGAAAGAAGGTAGATAAGCAAAAGCATTGGCAGCGTTTGTCAATTACAGTTTAATAAAGCTATAAATTTTAAAAAGTTAACTCTTGCCAAAGACCAACTCTAGCAACCTTATAATTTTAGCTAGATTCAACTGCCTCGCACTGGAATCCCTATCGTCGTATTTAAATTTTTTGTTATTAAGGTATTATTGATATACACTCTTATGAATGTTTCACATGGAAAACAGTGTGGTTAGTACATTCACCCGTATTATCAAGTGTCCACCCATACACCATTGCAGTCATTGTCCATCAGTGTAGTAAGATATCACAGATTCATTATTTGCCTTCTCTGTGCTACACTGTCTTCTCCATGAAACCCCCCACACCAAATGTACTAAACATAATACCCCTCAGTCCCCTTTTCCCTCCCTCCCCGCCCACCCTCCCACACCCCTCCCCATTGGTAACCCCTAGTCCTTCTGGGAGTCTGGAAGTCTGCTGCTGTTTTGTTCTTTCAGTTTTACTTCATTGTTATACTCCATAAATGAGGGAAATCACTTGGTACTTGTCTTTCTCCACCTGGCTTATTTCACTGAGCATAATATCTTCCAGCTCCTTACATGTTGTTGCAAATGGTAGGGTTTGTTTCTTTCTTATGGCTGAATAGGATTCCTTGTGTATATGTACTACATCTTCTTTTTCCATTCATCTACTGATGGACACTAAAGTTGCTTCCATATCTTAGCTATTGTTAATATTGCTGTGATACACATAGGGTTGCATATGCTTTTTGGCCTGAGAACTTATATTCTTTGGGTAAATTCCAAGGAGTGGGATTCCCGGGTCAAATGGTATTTCTATTTTTAGTTTTTTGAGGATACATATTGCTTTCCATAATGGTTGAACTAGCTTACATTCCCACCAGCAGTGTAGGAGGGTTGCCCTTTCTCTGCATCTTTGCCAGCATTTCTTGTTCTTAGTTTTTTCGATACTGGCCATCCTTACTGGTGTGAGGAGATATCTCACTGTGGTTTTAATTTGTATTTCCCTGGTGATTAGTGATGTGGGGCATCTTTTCATGTGTGTGTTGGCCATCTGAATTTCTTCTTTGGAAAATTGTCTCCTCATATCCTCTGCCCATTTTTTAATGGGTTATTTGTTTTTTGGTTGTTGAGGCATGTAAGTTCTTTATATAGTTTGAATGTTAACCCCTTGTTGGATATGTCATTTACAAATATATTCTCCCATACTGGAGGATGCCTTTTTGTTCTGTTGATGGTTTCCTTTGCCGTACCACAGCCTTTTAGTTTGATGTAGTCCCATATGTTCATTTTTGCTTGTTTCCCTTGCTCGAGGAGATGCATTCAGGAAAAAGTTACTAATGTTTATATTCAGGAAATTTTTGCCTATGTTGCCTTCTAAGAGTTTTATGGTTTCATGACTTACATTCAGGTCTTTGATCAATTTTGAGTTTATTTTTATGTATGGGGTTAAACAATAATCCAGTTTCATTCTCTTACATGTAGCTGTCCAGTTTTACTAACACCAGTTGTTAAAGAGGCTGTCATTTCCCCATTGTATGTCCATAGCTCCTTTATGATACATGAATTGACTATATATGCTTACGTTTATATCTGGGCTCTCTAGTCTGTTCCATTGGTCTATTCTTCTGTTCTTGTGCCAGTACCAAATTGTCTTGCTTACTTTGGCTTCGTAGGAGAGTTTGAAGTTGGGAAGCATAATCTCTACCAATTTATTCTTCCTTCTCAGAATTGCTTTGGCTATTTGGAGTCTTTAGTGGTTTGATATTTATTTTAGAATGATCTGCTCTAGTTCCTTGAAGAATGCTGTTAGAATTTTGACAGGAATTACATTGAATCTGTAGATGGCTTTAGGCAGGATGTCCATTTTAACAATATTAATTCTTCCTATCCATGAGCACGGGAAGTGTTTAAATTTATTGGTATCTTCTTTAATTTCTCTTATGAGTGTCTTGTAGTATTAAGAGTATAAGTCTTTCACTTCCTTGGTTAGGTTTATTCCCAGGTATTTTATTCTTTTTGATGCAATTGTGAATAAAATTGTTTTCCCAATTTCTCTCTCTGCTAGTTCATCATTAGTGTATAGGAATGTCACAGATGTCTGTGTATTAATTTTGTGTCCTGCTGCTTTGCTGAATTCAAATATTAGATCTGATAGTTTTGGACTGGATTCTTTAGGGTTTCTATGTGCAATTCATCTGCAAACAATGACAGTTTAACGTCTTCCTTTCCAATCTGGATGCCCTTATTTCTTTGTGTTGTCTAATTGCTGTCTTAAAGACCTCCAAAATTATGTTGAATAAAAGTGGACAGAGTGAACATCTTTGTCTTTTTCCCGATCATAAAGGAAAGGATTCAGATTCTCATTATTAAGTATGATGTTGGCTGTGGCTTTCTCATGTATGGCCTTTATTATGTTGATGTACTTGCCCTCTATACCCATTTTGTTGAGAGTTTTTATCATGAATTGATTTTTAATTTTGTCAAATGCTTCTTTGGCATCTATGGAGATGATCATGTGGTTTTTGTCCTTGTTTTTGTTGATGTGGTGGATGATGTTGGTGGATTTTCTTATATTGTACCATCCTTGCATCCCTGAAATAAATCCTAGTTGGTAATGGTGGATGATCTTTTTGATGTATTTTTGAATTCAGTTTGCTAATATTTTGTTGAGTATTTTTGCATCTATGTTCATCAGGGATATTGGTCTGTCATTTTCTTTTTTTGTGGTGTCTTTGCCTGGTTTAGGTATTAGAGTGATGCTGGCCTCATAGAATGAGCTTGAAAGTATTCCATCTTGTTCTACTTTATGGAAAACATTAAAGAGGATGTATATTAGGTCTTCACTAAATGTTTGATAAAGCTCAGTGGTGAAGCCATCTTGTCTACAAGTTTTGTTCTTAGGTAATTTTTTGCTTGCCAATTCAATTTCATTGCTGGTCTGTTTAGATTTACTGTTTCTTCCTGGGTCAGCCTTGGAAGCTTGTGTTTTTCTAGAAATTTGGCCATTTCTTCTAGGATATTCTATTTATTTGCATATAATTTTTCATAGTAATCTCTAATGATTATTTATACTTTTGTGGTATCCATAGTGATTTTTCCTTTCTCATTTTTGATTCTGTTTATGTGTGTGGTCTGAGAAACTGGGTTGTACAATTTCAGTCTTTCTGAATTTACCAAGGCTCTTTTTGTGGCCTAATATATGATGTATTCTTGAAAATGTTCCCTGTGGATATGGGAATAATGTGTATTCTGCTGCTTTTGGGTGCAGAGTTCTAGATGTCTATTAGGTCCATCTGTTCTAATGTGTTGTTCAGTGCCTCTGTGTCCTTACTTATTTTCTGTCTGGTTGATCTTTCCTTTGGAGTGAGTGGAGTGTTGAAGCCTCCTAGAATGAATGCATTGCATTCTACTTCCCCTTTTAATTCTGTTAGTATTAGTTTCGCATATGTAGGTGCTTCTGTGTTGGTTGTATAGATATTTATAATGGTTATATCTTCTTGTTGGATTGACCCCTTTATCAATTTGTAATGTCATTCTTTGTCTCTTGTGACTTTCTTTGTTTTGAAGTCTATTTTCTCTGATACAAGTACTGCAACTCCTTCCTTTTTCTCCCTATTAGTGGCATGAAGTATCTTTTTCCATCCCTTCACTTTTAGTCTGTGTATGTCTTTGGGTTTAAAGTAAGTCTCTTGTAGGCAGCATATACATGGGTCATGTATTTTTATCCATTCAGTGACTCTATGTCTTTTGATTGATGCATTCAGACCTTTGATATTTAGGGTGATTATTGATAGGTATGTTCTTATTGCTATTGCAGACTTTAAATTCGTGGTAACCAAAGGTTCAAGGTTAACTTTCTCACTATCTATGAGTCTAACGTAACTCAATTAGTATGGTATTACAACACAACCTAAAGGTTCTTTTCTTTCTCCTCCTTTTTATTCCTCCTACATTCTTTATATGTTAGGTATCATATTCTGTACTCTTTGTCTACTCCTTGACTGACTTTGGGAGTAGTTGATTTAATTTTCCATTTGCTTAGTAATTAACAGTTCTTCTTTCTTTACTGTGGTTTTATTACCTCTGGTGACAGCTATTAAACCTTAGGAACACTTCCATCTATAGAAGACCCTCCAAAATACACTGTATAGGTGGTTTGTGGGAGGTAAATTCTCTCAGCTTTTGCTTCCATGGAAATTGTTTAATCCCTCCTTTAAATTTAAATGATAATTGGAAGCAGAGCCAACATGGCGGCGTGAGTAGGACAGTGGGAATCTCCACCCAAAAACATATATTTTTGAAAATACAACAAATACAACTGATCCTAAAAGACAGACCAGAAGACACAGGACAAAAGCCAGACTACATCTACATGTGCAAGAGCCCAGCGCCTGGTGAAGGGGGTAAGATACAACCCCCGGCCCGGCGGGACCTGAGCACCCCTACCCCCACCTCCCGGCAGGAGGAGAGGTGTCAGAGCAAAGAGGGAGAGGGAGCCCAGGACTGCTAAACACCCAGCCCCAGCCACCCGCACCAGAGTGCAGATACAGTGCATGCGTGGAGGGCTGGAAACTAGGGAAACAGGGCAGCAAGACCTCTGAGCGGGTTTTGAAGTTGATGCCCCTGTGACAAAGAAAAGCGAGTGCTCACAAACACATGGAGGCTTAACAACACACTC